ATTGAAATTTTATTTTTTGAATTTAAACAGGCTCAAATAATATATTTTATCCTTTATATTTGAACTTAGATATTATTTCCTCATTCTGTTAAAATTTATGTAAAATGAAATCTACCTATATTTAGAATTAAAAGTTAGCATACGGAAATCTTTTATTTCTCTTCAGAACGCAGATTTTAGCTAGCAACTGAAACTAATTTTAATATTTAAAAAGTATTTTCAAAGCCACACAAATTTAAGACATCTGTAAAATATGATAGAGTTAGATGATTAAAATATAAATATTTGTTTTAAAACTGTTGAAAAATTTTCAGAGATTTGGAAAATATCAACTGTAATTTTGAGTTAAAGTATAGTTAGATAAGTGAAGTATATTATTTACAAAGAAACCAACTAAAATAAATTAATTGCTACCTTCAGTTATCACGTTGATAATATTGCATGCACCTATATAAATTTTTCAGCGTAATAGAAAAATTCTTTGAGTTAAAATTTAATGTTAGCTTACTGAAATCTTTTAATTTGAATTTAGAGTACTTGATCCTATATAGGTACAGCACTAATTTTATATAGACCATTTTAGAAACCAAATAAAATATTGAGCATACAGAAAAGAATTATGGATGCCTAATATTTTCGTATAAACCTCTCTCCTGTTGACTTTTGAAAGTATACATTGTATCTCTGATTAGTAAAACTAGTTTCTTCAATAGAAATTCATATGTGTTGTATTCTTTGCAGCTATTATTACTAAAATTATTGAATCTCTATTTGAACCAGCCACAAAGGCACCTTTCTGTAAGTTTTACATGAATTATTCTATTCTGTAAATGAGTTTGTCTTCTTAATTATCAATCATAAAATAGTAAGTATTATTTTGCAAGATGTCCATATGGTGCTAATAATATGGCTTAAACATCATTATGCTTACTTTCTATGTGTATAAGTAAAGCTATTACTATTGCAAACAAGTTCGATCAAGCTACTTATATGAGTATTTTTTTAAACCTGTCCGCTCTTGCAAAAACTCGTAATAAAAAAGAAGGTAAAAGATATTCTGACCACAAATTTATTTGGTATGCTTATTTGTTTCTTTCATGAATAAGTTTAAGGTCTTCTACCTTTAATCCTTGTAAATGATGCCTATGGCAATTATCTAAATTCCCAGCCATCTATTGTATAACTTTCATAGCTCAGTAATACAATTCAAAGAAAATTAGTAATCTTTTTATGATAGAAACTTCACAATATGCATATCTACAAATTGATTGTTGTATCTACGAGTCAATATTAATTAGCTAACATGAATAAACAATAAATTGTATTAAGGCAAAAAATGCTATTGTTTAATATGCGCTAATAGTTTGATCAACTTGTTATCCATCCTGTTTATAACAGTTAAATGAGATTAGATAAAGATATGGGGCTATGTTGGTGGATCATGTTTACTTTAAGCAATTTAATAGTATTAGTTATTTCTCTCTTCACATTTGTATGTGAATTAGCAGTTAGTATATTCACATTTTGAACTTAAACAAAAATTTAAAAATAGCATTATGAATGAGGAGAGTCCATTAGATGAAAATCTGCATCGACATAATATATGTGAAAATCAAACTTAAGATTTTATAGTTTGTTCTTGTTAGATATTTATTAGAACTGCTTTTTTAAATTATATGTGAGGATTAAAACTAGATGAGACTGTTAATCTACTAATGTACCCATTTCATTATTTAGTTGTTTGCTCTGTAAATTAATAATATTTTGACTTCTATTTATCATGTCTTGTTTATAAAGAGGTTATGTGTTTATTTTCATCAACAAATTTTGTTCCTTCAGACGCTCGAATATATTTTGTCCAATAATACAATATTTTTCCGTTATTAATGTATATATGCTTCAGCTTTTTTAAAAAGTATCTTATTTTTTCTTGTACTAAATGCAGCCTATATTATTCCATTAAATTCAATATTTGAGGCAAATTCTCATAATTTAATCAAAAGGTTGCTTATTGAAACACAATTTTGGAGTTGTACTTCATAATCTAATTTATGAGTAACTTTCGTCAGCATCACTACATTTTAGCTGCTTCTATGATATATTTTATTTGGACTTGCAGCTTTGTGGCCATTCGATTCATTGTTCAAAAATAGATATGTTCATTGATTGGATGATATAATTAAATTATTCAACTAATGTCTGATGGAAGTTATCATGTGTCTAGTAATCGATTCAATTAAAGTAGTAATTCATTCCTTGTCATACCCAATCTTGCAAAGCAATATGATGTACTCATTATTGTGATGCTTCTGTAATTGAAATAAGTTCTAATCTTAATTTGTAGCACTGTGCAACTGCCATTTTCATTTATGTTGATTTGGAGAGGACTAACTACAATTTAGTCACTCTACATAATGATGCTTGTGATTCTACTTTGCTTAGGCTTGCTTCATCTAATTGTCACGGCTGTGCTGATTTTACCTACCGGCTGTATACTCAGCATTGATGAGTTATTGCAGGACATAAACTTCTACCTACTTGTAACCACATAATTATCTGCTTCTAAGAATTGTTATGTTTATGACTTTAGCCGCTAACAAGCTAGTGCTTTTCTTGTCTAAACTATAGCTGTTTATTAATTACATTTTTTGTGCATCATGAGTGATGAATTAGAGGAGAGCAGGACAGATGTTCTGATGATTCTACTTGTGTTTGGATAATCATTACAATTTTGCAAAGAAGTAATCTTTGATTCTGGTTATTAATATTTGATTATATTTTGTAACAGCATTATCTATTTATTAAACGTTTCAAGAGACTTTATTTTACCTCCAAAGACCCTGGTTAATATGAGAGTCTAGGTTTCACTGTATTTCGTGCCACCCTTTCTATTTCTGTTAGATTGATATCTAGGTATCTATTTGTGGCATCAACTTTTTTTTGGAATTTGGGTTATTTCATTTCTCAATATATTTTCATCAAACAAATAGATAATGTTGGCTGTTCAACTTCGTATATTTCTCATTCCACCTTCAATTTATCATTTCACTTTGGTGTTTCTGGTATTACTTGCTCAAGTTTAGATTATGATAAATACAAACTTTTCAAGAACTAATACAAACATGAACTTTTTGACATTTCCATTCCTTC